TCACCTACTCCTCGGAGAATATTTGTCCAAACTTCCTTGGATGCTTTCTTTAAGAAAGCAGACAAGACTCCAGAAAAACCTGCAGCGAAGACTCTGGAGAAGACTCCAGCCAAAAACCCTCCAAAAAGTCCAGCAAAGTCATCTCAAAGAAGTCCTTCCAAATCAATGATTGCTATTTACAATATAAATACATTCAGAGCCGACCCGAACAGGGTGCCGGGCTGGGGCAAATCAGCCCATGTGGGGCCCCGCCCCTGCTCCCATCCCATGCGCCCTGGACCCAAAGAGATTGTTGCTGCCATTGGTAGTGTCAGCGCGAGTGGCAGAGGAGGAGGCGGTAGTGAGAAGCTGGCTGCGAAGCACAGGGTTGCTGTGGCTGCTCCACCAAACTCCATGGGGGCCCCCCCAAAGCATGGGGCCTGGGGTGGTCACCTGAACTCCCACCCCACCCAGCCCTGAATACGTTAATGTAGCTATATTACTCATCTATAGTTGATTGAGTACAACATTCTGGGTTACTTTTGGTGAAAATAAGGGATCAGACCTCCATTCAGGAACCAATCCCCCATTTATAACATCATTCCCATGGGAAAAAAAAATCGGCTCTGCATTACAACATTTCAACTTAAGACCTGGTTTTCAGAAACAGGTTGTGTGCTAAGTCTGAGGACTGCCTGTACACCCAAAGCTTTGGCTAGGGTGCTGTAGTTGGAGTTGGTCCTGCTTTGAGCAGGGGTCTGACTCACTGACCTCCTGAGGTCCCACCGGACCCTCGTCTTCTGGGATCCTCTGATTCACTGCTGAACACGGCAGGCTTAGAGAGGCCTCGCCCTGTACTGGCCTCTCTGCCTCGCCCTGCAAAGCAATTTCAAAACCTAGCGGCTGGGGAAGGGCAGGCTCCGGTCCCGCCAGCCGCTGGATGCCACAGGCCGGGATGTCTGCCGCGGCCTCCTTTACCCCGAGGCTGCGGGACAAGCGGGGCAAGGCAAAGACGTTCTTGCCCGGGCGGCTGCCCCGTGCCTCGGCCGAGCAGGGACCGCGGCCCTGACGCTGTTGCCAGGACGCGGGGCGGGTGCAAGGGCACTGACATATCTCAGGGCAGGGGGGTGCCGCCTCCCCATCCCGCGGCGGTGCCTGGCTGCGGCCGCCGAGAGGGCCCAGGCGGTGCCCTCCCCCCACAAGCCCTGCTC